TCCCGGTTGGTGCCACCAACCGGGACCAAAGGCCCTCCTGCCTGGACTCGGCGCACCGGCCACGTGGAGGCACATCTGTCCCGGTTCGTGTTAGAACCGGAACTAAAGGGGGAGGCATTAGTCACGACCCTTTAGTCCCGGTTCAAGAACCGGGACTAAAGGCCCTCACGAACCGGGACTGATGCCCCCTTTTCTACTAGTGTGCCGTAAACATCATGTGAGGCGTTTTGGAGGCCAAGATACATGAACCCCTTTATCTCATCCTGCCATTGTAGCGTTGTGATCTGTACGCCTGCTTTCAAATTATTATACACTGATTGTTTGTTACAAATACAATGGTGTCGTCTGTTGGTGTTCCTGACTTGTGCCATGTGGGGGACTTTGAATTTAACCAATGTGGCGGTTGCGCTAGTAGGACAATGGGGAACTAAATGTGTTGGATGGCCCCGCAAACGGTGTGATGGTCACGTTATAGTTTCTACTAGATGGTGCCAGGAGCGCGTCATTTGACCAGACATCCCCTACCCGTCCCACGCCATGCAGAAGTTCGTTGCCCATGGAAGGGATGGAGTTCTACTTCAAGGAGCGTGAACCAAGCTAATGTTCTCCCGGATTTTTAAGTGTTGAGTCACTTACAATTATGGTGTGGGTTTTGGTGTTAAAGGCTACAATTTAGGACGAGATTTTATTCCTTAGATCTGATTGTTTGTTAACCTACTATGGCCAGAGCTTCGTTCCACGATTGGACGTCGGATCTGTCTTAAGGGACGAGGTTGAAGAAACAATTGTGACATTTTTTATGCTTGCTGGTGGTGGATTGGAAAATTTGAACCAACTGTATTTGTTTGGTCTCTATCAATCCCTGATATTTTTGGTGGTTACTGATTTGGCCCTCGTATGGGGCATATATAGGACAACATGACGGGATAGAGATTGGAGGGCAGGACAAGTAATTCTTGGTTTAAACCTATTGAACCAAATATGTATTCTAACAGGTTTTAGCAGAAGACGAATTGAGGGGATGAGGAACATATTTTGACAGTGGTAGGTTACACAATCGGGTGACATGGTGAGTGGAAGGTGTGAGCGCCTGTCCCTTGATCGGACTGAAGATGGAGAAGAGGCCATGGCCACGGTGGTGTTCTTCATGCACTGAGCCGTGGTGTGGTGAGTGATATAAATACACAGCTTTGGAGGGGCCGGTATTCGTTTGATGGCCAGAACACAACTTATATGATGGCAAGTGTGAATGCGCTGGTATGACACATGGGATAGCACAGTTGATAAAGTGAGATATTGTGGCTAATAAATAGCACAGTTATTCGCAAAAAAATAGCACAGTTGATAAAGTGAGAATAGCTATGGTGAAATACGGGGGAGTTATGCGAGTCTGAGTCTGATCGCTACAAAGACCGACGCGCAAGGTAAAGAGTACCATGCAGCTCGGCCTTCAAATGGCATTTTGGGTAAACATCTCGCTATTATTAGATATAGTACCTACCGGCTATCACTGAATAAAGGATTGGTCTTGGCACGTATTTGAATGTTGGTAGATAGTACGAGGTACAACAACATCCAAACCTGTGGTGGATTATATGCATGCCGTCTCCACAAACAGCTCCCCAACCCCCACCAGCTCTTCACCCAATACATCCTTGAGACAGTCATCATCCCCCGAGAACATGAGAGAAGCATATATGAGACCTTTGCATATAAAAAATGTGTCTAACCATTTGAGAATAGGAGATGTTAGGAAAGGAACATTAAGGATGACCAAAAAGCCAAGTATTGCACGATGTGATGCCCTAGGGAAGATTTGTGATGCTTGTCAAAGGGCCATGACAGCGTGCTCTAACATGTCTGTGTGGCTGCCTCCTCCATTGCGTCCACCAACATGGGGGTGCACTTCGTCCAGCTCACCTTGGCCTCTTTCGCGGATTCCTTGGCGGTGTCCACAGCTAGTTCATCGGCTCAGGTGCTCAGGCAATGGTCTCTGGCACCACGGTTGTCAATTCTCAGTTGCATCAATGGGAATAGAATTACAGCAATGGACCCAAGTGACTCGCATATAAAAATACTCATTTCTTACACGCAAGTTGGTCAGCAAAAGTGTTTATTTAAGTGTTTTAGTTGGGCTCGGCCCATTTACCTTCTTTTTTTTCAACCTTCAAAATTGGGTGTATGTGAGACTGGAACTCTATACCAAACGTAATAACCAACTGGGAACCTTACCTACTATGCCTGGTTACTTCTTTGTCATGCGTCAACTGTAACTTTCAAATGTTACTTCCTCGGTTCTTATTTTCTGTTTTATTTTTATTTTTCCACTTTACTTTACTTTTTTCATTTCTTTTAATTTTTTTGTGAACTATTTTCAAATTTCTGAAGTTTTTTGAAGTTCATGAACTTTTGTGATTATTTTAGAACGTTTTTACTTAAATACCTGAACTTTTTACCCTCAAAGATGTGAAATCTTTTCAAATCTGCTAACATTTATTTCCAAATTTATGAACTTTTTTCAAGTTTGTGATTTGTTTTCTCAATTCATAAACTTTTTTCAAAATTGCCAAAATGTATTAAAACTCGTGAACTTTTTAAGAAAGGTCGATGGTAAGTGAATGTTCACTTTTTTAGATTTAAAATTTTTCTTTTGAGGGAAGTGAGTCTCTCACCCGAGCGAGAGAGCGAGAGAGCGTACCTGTTGCTGGGCCGGCCCACAGCAGACCTGGCGCGCTTAAGGCGCTGAAGAAGGGCTGTCGCAACTACTGGCCCAACTGCTTCCCCGCAACTTCATTCCGCCCGTCCTCCTCCAGCCATCCATCCACCATCCCGGCGGCCGGCGGACGACGGCGAGAGCATGCAGCAGTCACGCGCATGGTCGTCCCTTGCCCGGGGCTTAGCGCGCCGCCTCGCCGGAGGAGCGCCGTCAGCTCCGATTCCTCCTCTCCACTCCGCTGGAATCTCCACCGGGTCAGCCCGCCTGCTCGCCCGCCAGGTGCTTGTCTTTATTCCTAACTGACCGAGCTTCCTTCCTTGGGTGTCTGTCTGTTTCTTTTTTTCGATTTTCCTAGCACTTTGTAGACGTTGTTCTAGGATGTGGCCTCCTTGGATTGCCTCAAGCTGATCATGCAACTCATCAGTCATCAGCATCGCAGTGGTGGGATAGAATCGGCTCATGAACTAGCTAGGTTCTTTGAGTGTTCTCTCAGGACTCACTAGCCACTTGGATAAGCGGGGTGGATAAATACCATGTATATCTCCTACTACTACGATCTTCTCGCACAATGTTAGTTACGGCATATTTGCGTTTCTATGAGCACCGTTCTTGTATTTTGATGATCTTGGGAAACGGCTAGTTCTGGTGCACTGTTCCACTGGATCTAGGTGTGATTGCTGCTTCTATTGTGTGCATAGCACCACTGTTGTGCCCCGGGTGTTATATTGAGGAGGGGCCTTCCTGTGACATGGGAATGCTTTGCATAATTGGTGGTCATGTGGATGTTTGCTTCTGAACTATGAACCCCTTTTCTACCATGTTACCTGATACTGATTTTTCTTCTTCCTTTTTTCATGGCAATGTAAATGCCATGCTTTTAATCCCTCAAATAAAAATGTCCCTTCCCCTATTTCGACCTCTCGCTTCCTCTGATGGACACACACTCATACAAACAGGCACATGTTGTCTCCTGGTTTCACAGAGAGCAGAGACAAACAGAGAAAACAGAGTAGAGAGATACCAGATATGTAGATATGTATGCACTTTTCACGCAGAAAACAGAGAACCCGTAGTGTCCTCAGCTGACACGCAGCTTTTCTTTCACATACACGTATGCACTTTGGACGATTGTGCCTCTTTCGTGTTATAATAAGATTAGTACCAACCAACAGTTGCATGCTGGTAACTTAATTCTTGTTTTTGTCGTGGACTTGACAGGACGGAGGTTTTGTTCATGGTGGGTTCATGGATTCCATTCGTATTGGTGGTGTTGTGATACCTAACCACAAGAGGGTGGAGTACGCACTGCAATCCATCCATGGCATTGGCCGGGCACGCGCCCGCCAGATCCTTTCAGAGCTCAATTTGGAGAACAAGGTCACCAAAGACCTCTCCAAGGAGGAGATCCTCACCCTCCGTGAGGGCATCGCAAAGTACATGATTGAAACAGACCTAGTAAGTGATTCCCCTGGTCCTTCTGCCAATCTGATTTCTCCCGTGCATGTCGTTATGTAAATGCTGTCATGAGATGATTATAACTCATTTCGTAGGACCTGTCTGGTTCATCTAAACCTTCCTAATCCTAGGTGTATCTGTCATTTTAGTTTGATCACACAAAAGAAATGGAAATACTGAGTTTTGCTCTTTGGAATGCTTTACAGAGACGGTTTAAGAGCGCGGCGGTCGAGAGATTGGAAGGGATTAGATGCTACAGGGGGATCCGGCACGCAGATGCGCTACCGGTACGTGGCCAGAGAACAAAGACCAATGGCAGGACTCGCAAGGAAAAGAGGGCTTGATTTGCCAACAAGTCGTTCGCGACCCTCCCAGGAATAATTAGTCATGCTGCCATTATTTGGCTCCTTTTTTGGTTTTGTTTGTACTGCATTACCGCACTACTGTTAATCGACTGTTAATCCGACAATAAATGCTAGGTGTCTCCCAGCCAGCCTCTGCTGTACTTTCCGAATGTTCAAATTCAACTAGTTTGGTTTGGTTAAATTCAGTTTAATGTTTTATGTGCTTCTACATCTACAATGATTCTGTCGCACAGTTTATTTCTTTCTTATTTGGCTATTTCCTACCCATATATGATGCATGCTCTTTTTAGTGCTGAAAAGTGAAAATAAAGCATCTCAATGCTGATATCGGATATTTGTTAATCTGTGCCACTAGCCCTGGTGTGTTCCCTTTGGTTCCTTATAAGGGCGGTTCAACTTAGTGTTTGTTTTTTGTTTCTAGTTTATCATACATAGGGCATAGATAGAAATGAGGCATTTCTTTTCTGTATGATATGATATACTCCCTCTGTCCCAAAATTCTTGTCTTAGATTCGCCTAGATACGAATGTATCTAATACTAAAATGTGACTTTGGTAGGAGCTGGGACCCTACTGGGTCTATGGCGTAGGTTGTAGGGGAAGGAGGGGGCTGGACGTGGCGAAGCTCGTGGTCGCCGGCGGCAGGGCCCTAATATCCCGGTCATAACAGACTTGATACATCCGTATTTAGACAAATTTAAGACAAGAATTTTGGGACGGAGGGAGTAAGATTGTATTTCGAACATATTGGGTCTTAGCTTCAACAATCATATTCTTACCTTAACAAAATCAGCTCTGGTCCCAGCTATGCTTTTGATCTTTATCTGAATATTGGCTATTCATCAAGCTTCATTCCACCAAATCTTGTATCCCCAGCCAAATACTACTCCATAATGTAGGGACAAAATTCGGGGATGAGAGATCATGTCCCAAAGCCGGGGATGGTTCGTGGATGGCTTAATCAGGCGGCCGAGAAGCGCCTGGGCAGAGAGGGCTGCTGTGGCCTGTGGGGAGGCGGGCGGCTCGTCGGCGCCTTGAACGGGGAGGCGGCGGCTAAGGGGGGGCAGGCGTGAAGACAACCTTGGAGGTTGCCTCCCGCCAATTTTACTGCTCAAATAGATATAATATACTGTACTTGCAATATGCTGACAAAAAATACATATTTCGTTTAAATTTACTTGTCTTCTCTCCAAAAGCAACCAAGAAATCGTCTTTACAGGACACATGGAACTGATTTGGGCTGGCATGAATGAATTGTTGTTTTCGTATTAGATTTCTTCGCAGCAGAATCATCATCTTTACAAGAGACAGCCATCTTTTACATCAGGGGAAAACACATACATGATCATACACACAACTACACGGGCTCCAACATGAAACTGAGGAGCAGCTAGCTCCCGCCACGCCACTACCAAGTCACAGCAAAAAAATCTATCTTCCAACTGCCGATCGCCTCGAATCGACCAGGAGGCATAATACATGTACATATCCTTGCCGAGGCAAAAGAAAGAATCTTGCCTCGGCATCCTCGTCGACACTTGTCATCAATAAAAGCTTGCCCTTGGGCACAGCCTCTCCACAGACCCGTCCGGTGGCCCGTCGACCGGGCGCAGCTTGATCTCGTAGAGCTTCGGCCACAATTTCCCGGTCACTGTGAGCAGAGCCGAAGGGTTAGCTCAAGAAGAACATACAGGCTTCCATCTATAGGACGAGCGCGAAAAGAAAAGGAGAAAAAACTCACAAAACAGTCTGTTCTTTTCTTCGTCCCAAGCTATACCGTTTAGAACATCAATGGCCTGGAACATGGAACAGATTTTTAGTGTCATGCCACTTCTGATACTGGATTTGGATTAAGTTTTGTGTGTGCGTGTAGGAATACAATTACGCAATGAACCATCATCATAGACTGCTCACCGTGTTGCCAGAATTCCACAATTGCTGCCTGCGAAATTGTGAATCCAACACACCAGTTATTATTTCAAATACAGACACCATATAAATACAATTTTTTTTATGAAGAAACTCAGTGGACAAGAAAATGGGAAGAGAACAGCAGTCATGTGCTACTCGGGACATACCTCAGCTCATGAAGAAAGATCCAGCTCGCCACTTGGCCATCTTCATAGGAAATTCTAGCTATGCAATCTGTCTACACATCATAGCTTCAAATACTGAGATTTGCACTTCAATATTCTAGCATATTTGTAGGCAGTTCAAATTGTATTGTTACAGCATATATGATAACACTTTACATGGAAAACACAGCTAAAACACAAATAACACAAGTTACCTAATACATGTGAAATATGAGCCTAATTCTGTTCTAGAACATAAAGATCTAGACCAGTTCACAGTACATCAGCAGCCTATTTAGGAGTATCAAGTGTAACAAAGGGAAACATATAGGATAAAACTTGGATACACCTCAATACAAATCAATTCACACCCCGTACTTAGTTTATTAAACTTAAACCTCATCCACATTTTGTCTAGACGAAGCTTTTATAAATAGCACCAGGGAGCAACATGACAGCACTAAGATATACTAATGAAAAATGTTCTGGTCCCTGAGATCTTGATCAATACTCCCTCCGTTCCAAAATATAAGGTGTACTATTTTTCAGAAAAGTCAAACTTCTCTATGTTTGACCAAATTTATAGAGCAAATATTTGAATAACTACAATACCAAATGAGTACCATTAGATTCATCATGAAACATAATTTCATATTTTTTTTTATTTTTTTTTTATAGATGTTGAAATATTTCTCGATAAACTTGGTCAAACATACACCATATATTCTAGAACGGAGGGTGTATATTATAGCGTGAAAGCAATATATGTAGTGCGTAATAACTCTAACCTGCCAGACATTTGCCCATACTTCACCATTTATATACTCCAGTTCATTAATAAAGGAAACAGCATTGTCTTGATATTTCACTGTTACTGTCTTCGTCACTGTATCAACAGAGATGTCAAACAAAAGAAATGAAGTCTTAAAGCTAACAGAATATCAAACGTGTAAATAACTGAATATACCTTCAAGTGATTCTGGATCCAGCTGGTATAACTTTGAGGTGCCATCACTGCCAAATATAATTTTTCCATCGGTGGCAAGCCCCCACCCGTCAAGCATTTTATGGGTAAAACTCTCACGCTGCAGCAGAGAACACACTAACTTGTTACCTCGACATAAGCAAGAAACCACGGTAAGTGAAAAATGAATAATCTAAATAGCAAATATTTGCTATATCAAATTATGATTAAATAGAGTTGAAGGCTATATATTAACAAATTCGCGCATCTGCTGGTCTGAGCTTGCAGGTGAAAATCAAACCCAACGTGTAACAAAGTGTATCTACCCAACTTGCTGGCTTGTATTTAAGTACCATTTGTATAATTTGAACCTAGAAGACAGCTACACCATGCACCATGAGAACCTAATCAAGGTTAGAGTACGTACTAAACAAGCTTAAGAAATACTGTTGCACCTTTTATTTGGAAGTAAACTGGCCGAATAACTTGAAACATGACCAGTAAAATGCAAGGTGAATGATTGGAAACCCGTATTTCATAAGATCACCAGACAATAGATACTGGTATGTGGGGGTTGGGGATACTTTGCGGAGACTTTACAACAAAAACATCTGAATCATTTGTAAATGCACTAGAATAGAAACAGGGGCAGCAGCATTACTTTGCTGAAGTTATGCCGGTCGTATATGAATCCATCATTCTTCCGCCAAGTAACTTGAAACAATCTACAAAAGAGAATTTTATTTAAAACAAATGAAATGTGACTTAACAGGACCACAGAAGCAAACAGGGCCATCATATTCATATTCAAGAAAGCGATTTCTATCATCAGGTATAGTTGAGGTATATCTACCTGTCGCCGAGAAGTGTTAGGCCTTCTCCAAACATCCATCCATCCATTTGGTGCTGCTCTAAAACCTGAAAAATGACAAAGCAATAACTACCGATTTAGTGTAGGGTAGGACAACCATTGCTGCAGACATAAAACGCGCAATGTTATGTATGGAAAGCAAAGTAATTAACATACTTTCCCAGTTTGAAGATCAACCTTTCGGACCGACGACTGCTCAGAAACAAAATTAGAAGCATTTAGTTACAGCTTTAAATAACTGGTTCCAGAAAAGCAAGTGAATAAAACAAATGCAGCTTGCCTAGTCTGCTACTTGTTTCTTTCCACTACAGGTAATTAACTGTGAGAAGAAAACCAAGGAAGCATTCATTCCTCCGCATGCCTAGAACAATGACTCGAGTGAAGCACGGATTTTTGTTGCCAAGCTAAATTGGAGCAGCAGATTTTTGGTCCGCATTGACATTACCTACCTGGTGATAAAGGCCGGTGGACTCGAAGAGGGTGTCGTTCCCCCCGTACAGGAGGCCCTGCCAAGAAGAGACCACGCGATCTGAGAAATTTGTAGGGAGCGAATCCGATCAGATCAGATCAGGGAGGGAGCGGAGGGTGCGTGGGAACCTGGGTGAAGGCCGCGGGGTCGTGCGGGTATTCGCGGACCAGGTCGAAGGAGTAGAACCTGGCGGCGGCGGGCGCCGGGCGGCGGAGGAGCGCGGCGGGGAGGTAGGCCGGGCGCCAGACGGCGGCGGCCGCGGCGAGGAGGAGGAGCGTCGCGAGCGCGGCGCCCGCGGCCGCGACGGCCGTGCGGGGG